CCTGCCCCCGCTGCCCCACATGGCCTCCAAGCGTCCAAAGCAGTGAGCCCAAACCCAGAGTCCTGTCTGTGGTATTTTAGCTCCATCTGCTGGTCCAATGTTTTTCACCAGTGCTGTAAACAAGACAAAGTTTATAGGTTTCAACCTCCTTTTATGAATCAATCGATTGATTGGTTTTATTCTCCAAGCCAGCCTCCTAGAGTTTAAGGTAGATTCTCTATGTTATCTGAGTTATATTTATCCATACACATCTTGAGGCTCGAAATAAATGATGGTCAGCAGACCAACTGTATATCCAAATATTAGCCACAAATAAAAGCGATGTGACTGTGGGAACCATAGCGATGTCACCACTTCCTGGGAAATGAGAAGCAACGGAGAGGTAGACGTGAACGACGATGCTAGTTTAAGGAAATGGTGGTAGCCGAAAAAGTAGAAAACAGTGGGAAGAGATGGCAAGTTCAGTTTTTCACACATTAGACCAATTTCAACGCCACCTTCTAGTATCATGGTAGTTTTTATTTATGGACTTATGTTTATATATAAGGGAAATGAATGACAGCAATAACACAGGATGGGTAGGAGAAATTAGGATTAATTTGTTATTATAAGGTACTCACACTCCCTGTGAAGTAGCACAGTGTTATTTGAAGGTGGACTTGGATTAGCTCTCCATGTATATAGCGAATTCCAGGACAACCACTCAAAAACAGTAAAAAAAAAAAAAAGCTGAGAAAGGAGAGAAAATGGAATCATATAAAATGCTCAATTAAAACCACAAAAGGCAAAAAAAAAAGAAAAAGAAAAAGAAAGAAAAAGACAAAAAATAGAAACAAAGAACAAGGGCAACACATAGAAAACAGTAATGAACATGGTAGATACTAACCCAGCTCTACCCACAATCATCTTGAATGTCAGTGGTCTTCAAAGCACTAGTTAAAAGACAGAGGTTGTCAGAGCAGATCAAAAACAAGGCCCAACTCTATGTTGTCTGCAGGAAACCCACTTTGAATATAAAGACGCAGATAGACTGAAAGTAAATGGATGGAGAAAAACAGACCACGCGAACACTAAACCAAAAGACAGCGGGGTTGGCAAACTACAGCCTGTGAGCCAAATTGGGCCTGTTGCGTGTTGTTGTACAGCTCACGAGCTAAAAAATGGTCTAATATTTTACATGGCTGAAGAAATGAAGAATATTTCATGACATGTCAAAATTATGTGAAATTCAAATTTCAGTGCCTATAAATGAAGTTTTATTGGAACACAGCTAGGCTCATTTGTTCACATACTGTCTGGAAAAGTTTCAACAGAGCCCATATGGCCTGCAAAGCCTAAAATACCCACTCTCTGGTCCTTTACAGGAAAAAAAAAAAAAAAAAAGCCAACGCCTGCCAAAGAAAGTAGGAAAACAGAGGAAAAAAAGCAAAAAGATGTTTAGTACACTACTGAGTGATGCTAGTCGTAAGAGTCATCATCATCATCACTATGATCGATAAATACTTCTGAAGGCTACTTCATGAAAAGTATCCTATTTAGTGAACATGTCTAACAGGGAGTCCAGCACGAGAGAGAGGAGAGAGATCAGAGTTCCTCTTCCTTCAGTTTCTTTGGGGTCCAGCTTTGCCTCTGAATGTACCAGAATGAAGACTTGGAAGTGGCCCGGGCTGGGCCCGTGATGGTGGCCTGGGCTGGGCTGAGGGTCGCAGTCCTGCTGCAGGCTCTGAGATGCCTGGGCTGTACTCTTCCTCTTCAGTTGCAGGGAGCCATCATGGTCGCTTCCTGTGTCCAGATGCTGGTGGGCTTCTCCGGCATCATTGGCTTTCTCATGCGCTTCATCGGTCCCTTGACCATTGCTCCGACCATCTCCCTGGTGGCCCTGCCTCTCTTCGATTCTGCGGGCAGTGATGCCGGGTCCCACTGGGGGATCGCTGCCATGTAAGTCCTCTCTGGGGGAAGGAGTACCATCTGAGTTCTCTCTGGTGGAAGATTACCCTGTAAGAATAATAAGAGTCTTGGATATTAGCCAAGTCTGTGGCTTATAAAATACTTTGATGGACACCACCAGAGCTTGAAAAGTGGTGAAATTGCTACTTCTAAGTTATTATTACTGCTGTTTATTACATCATCGGTACTCACAGGCCATGAGTTCATCACAGGCAGTTCGTGTAATCATGCTTAGTGTAGGGGTCACAATAAGTCCCCTTCCCACTAGGTTTTCATTGAGCAAACTTTTGTAAACCTCTGGCAGCCGGGAAGGATGCAGACATGGCCCCAGCTCTCAGGCCTCTTACGGTGAAGAGAGAGAAGACTTGCATCCAACTACCTATGACACCAGGAGACAGTGATGAGAGTTAGAATGTCATGCATGTTCAGGAGATGAGTGATGAGAGCCAGCTGGGGAGCGGGGGGGATCAGGAAGGCTTCCTGGAAAAAGAAGAGGCCTTAAGCATTTAAACAGAGCTTTGAAGGGACTTGGGGATGGACACTGTCATTCACACTCCCCCTTGTGGTCTGACCACAAGGACCTGCAGAACAACCCGGGAGAGAAGATGGGCTCAGACTCTGTCCTCATTGGCTCCAGTTGCTGGATCTGTCCAGGTGCCACCCTCCGCGGCATGACAGCTTCCGTCCCCACTATGCCTCTTCAGCCACCAGCAGCTTCTGAAAGGGAGCAGCGCTCCTCTTCAGAGATGGCAGAGTGCCAGGCTGCGGGGCGGGGCCTAGACAGGGACCCTCCCTAGATGGCCACTGCTCCCAGTCCCAGAGACAGGGGGTCGGCTTAGCTCCCTGGACCCTTGCTCCGGACAAGCCCCAACTCGCCAAGTCAGGTGTGGTTTTGTTTGTTTCTATTCCAGGACCATCTTTCTCATTGTACTGTTTTCTCAGTACATGAAAAACATCGCCCTGCCCGTGCCGGTTTGTGGACGAGAGAAGCGTCACACCGCTAAGTTCTACCTGTTTCAGATCTTCCCCGTAAGAAGCGCTCCGCACCCTCTTCCATTCTTAGTTGGCTCACCTGGAGAGTAAGGGGCAGCCTCTTGCACTCCTAGATGCGCCCCCCCCACCCCCATCAGCCGTGGCCTCTTGTCCTTGACTTTCTTAATCCACTTGCGGTCTGTGGGAATGCTCCTTGACTGTTCGCGTAAGGCTATTCCTCAATGCTTCTCTCCTAGGAATAGAGAACCCCGCCCTAGGTCACTGCTCTGGGCACCCACCAGTGTGGGACAGCCTTCTCATGTTCCCTGGGCCATCCTCATAGCAAGACACTGGGAGACATAGCCAGATCCACTACTAATTATATAAAGCTAAGGGGTCAAGATGCTTAGATCAGGTGCTTTCTCAGTGGCTTATGGGTAATTCAAATACATCGTGACGGTGATGGTACCTCTTCTTTCAGAGCCTTCTCTGTTGAATTCGTATCACGCTGTCAAGAGTGCGTAGCTATCAATCATACAAATACGTTTTCAGGTCTAACTTAACTGTGAACTACATTTCACATTGTAAAAAGATACGAAACGACCTCATTTACTCTCCAACGACCCTGGAGGCCAATGGTTTTAAAATTCAGTATGCATACGAATCACTTGAGGACATAGCTAAAAATACAGATTTTTGGGATTGGGCCACCGGAGGTTAAAAATCATAGATCTGAGGATGCTGCTTTAAGAAATTGTACTCCTGGCTCTACAAAGCAGTGATTGTAATTCCACTGTACGGATAAGCAAACTGAGGCTCAGAATTTTATCCAAGGACATGTGACCTGTGAACAGTAGCAGGGGAGACAAACTAATAAATGCCCACTTTACTAGATATCCTGCCTCTATTCGCTACAAGATCTCCCCATAGTGTATTTTCTACATCCCTTTAATGTGCTTGTTTAATTATCCACCACACACCAGATTCCTGTTGTCACTGGAAGGGCCATTTACCAACACTTCCTCATCTCGAAGAGGTTTCCAGAACTCTCCTCCACTCATCCCCTCTGGGAGGGCTTGGCCGGGGCTGGGCGGACTGCCCCGGTCTGAAGAGTGCTCTCTCTGTCAGGTGCTGCTGGCGCTCTGCATCTCCTGGCTCCTCTGCTTCGTGCTCACAACCACCAACACCTTCCCCTCGGCCCCCACAGCCTATGGGTACCTGGCCCGCACCGATACCAAAGGCAGCGTCCTGAGCCAGGCCCCGTGGTTTCGCTTCCCTTACCCAGGTAATGAGAAGATGCAGACCCTTCAGGCCTGGGGCACGTTTTTCTCAGGACTGCCCCTGGGGCTGGAGGAGGGCTCCTCCTCCAAGGAATCTGGCAACAAGGGACGGGCCCTAGGGAATCCATATCAGACCCCGGAGAGAAGGAGACCCCTGGGTCATCCTATGGATCCTTCGTGTGTGTGTGCTGGGGGTGGGGGGCGGTGCTAGGCTAGAGGTTCCCACTCCCAGACCTACCTCGGAGCTGGCCTACACCCCTCAGCACCCGTTCACGTTGCTTAGAGCCCATGAGTGTAAAAGTGGGGAAAGGACAGAGGGGTCCCAACCTTCTAGCCAGAACTTTGGGTCTCCTCCTGGGTTTGGAGGGTCCCACGCAAGGGAGACCTGAGACTGACTGAATGAGAACATTTCTGGGGAGACGAGTTCAAGGCCACCCTTTAGGCCATTTCTAGTCTCCTTTCCCCACAGTGCTTGGCTGGGGGTGTATAAATAACCAGGTTCCAGGGAGGGCTGGCCTGGCCTCATGGACCTTGGAGCCGAGACCTCCCTGAGCAAGAATCTCGGTTTCCAAAAGCTTGGCGGCCTTCCTGAGAAGACACCACATTGCTGGCTCCTTTTGTGCACAGCGACCTCAAGGTCAGGGTGTCTGGCTCACCCTCGGGGGGCGGGGGTGGTAGGGCAGGCGTCTGAGCCAAACCCTCCGAACGGTTGTAGGGGCAAAGACATGCTGTCCGTTCTCTAAAGCCTTCTGGGGACACCCCCCTGCCCCCCGCCACCGCCCCGCACCACCAC